TCCTACTAGTGCTACCTGCATTTTATACAGGGCCATGGAAGGACTTATTCGGGGACATTTAATGACGTATCTATAGCAGACGGACCGATTGTGCGCTGCTCAGCACGGAATTTGCCGTGGTCGCTCATGTCTTACTAACAGACGTTTATCGCAGGGAAAATGGACAAAAGCGATAGACGAAGGTCGTCCAGTGGAGGTCATCTTCTGCGACTTCAAAAAGGCGTTTGATAGCATTCGTCATAGGCACCTCCTGCAGAAGGTTTGAGAGTGTGGAATTCAGGGCGCATTTTTAAGTGCATCAAAAGTTGCCCGTCATGCAAGCTCCAAAGAGTACTTATTCGACTCACTGCATCCAAATACGTGCCAGTAAAAAGCGACATTCCGCAGTGTTTTTTTATCAGTTCTCTCCTCTGTCTCATCTATGTAAACGACCGCACTGCAGATTTTGAATGCGATGCCATCATGCTTGCAGAGGATATAAAGATTTGCAAACAATCAACTACGTTGACGAATTGTAGAAACTACAGATAGAAGTTGGTAAGCAGGCTGCATGATTCAGCAAGTGAATTATAGGGTTTAATGTATCCAAATGTGCAGGCTTGTGCATTGAATCTGGCCGGAGACGCTTCCCAAAACACCAGTACACCATACATGGGGTTCCACTAGAAGAAGTGGACACGCACAAAGACTTAGGTATGTAGACAAGTTCAAAATTGGTGCCCTCCGGGCACTGCAAAAAAGCCGTCCAGCAGTAGACTAGCATCATGCATTGGATTAGGCGTACTTTCAAAGTCTTTCCTCCTGAAATCTTCTCATATATATTTTTCGTTCGTCAGACCGCATGTGGAATACGGAATGCCAGTCCGGACGCTCCGGATGAACAAAAGCCAGTGACGTCATAGACCAACGGGCGAAGAAGCTGGTGGATGGTCTCACGACTTTGTCCTGTTCAGGAAGACAGATCCAGCTAATATTACTCCCTTTATCCTTTATACAAAATAGGTGTTAACTGTAAAGGACCTTTCGCTTTATCCACGGGCATGACTGCTCGTTCAAATCTGAAGACTTCTTTGGCTTCACGATCATGAATAATCGGTGCGGTCATCCGTAAAAGGTCAAGCGGGAGCGTACACGCCTAGACCATCGGATATTTTCACTCAGCCAGAGTGTTGATCGACTGTGGAACTCACTCCCAAGTGAAATAGCAATATCTGATACAGTGGTTTTATTCAAACGACAGGTGTATCACTTGATCTTTGATAAACGATGACTCTCACTGCAGGACTATCTGCGGCCAGCCATAAAATATATTTCCTCATTTAACCCCTATGTTGCGCATGCCTGCACATTTAATGAAATTGCATCCTGCAAATTACGCAAATGACTGCAATTGTGCTGATTGTACATAATTACACTCAATATATCATGTGTGCATGGGAACGACCGTCTGCCGCATACTTCACAGTTCCACGGTGTAAAAAGTTTTGTCTGAACAAATATGCCATTGGCAACATTTAAGTAAAATGTGCGGATAAAACAAATATTGTATGTACCGTTTTCAATAGGGTCATCAAACGGATTGTCCGGGCAATGGGTTTTCGAGTATCATTTCTAGAAAGATACGGTGTTATGCGCGGTCACTGTAAATGCCCTACGACTGACCTTTGCACGTCGTCTCTCGCAGTACGAAGACGCCCTGCAGCCAATGCGGAACTCGCAAGGAGGTCATGGGCGTGTACTTTCTTAAATCTACTGGCCAGTGCATTCTTTTGGATGAGCCATTTGACTCCCGCTTTCCCACCTCCATCGCCCCCTCTCTCATTCCATGCGGGCTACTCCCTACCCCACCATATCCGTTGTCACCAACTTCAACTGCCCCATCCCTACGACCGTGTCACATTCTCCCTCTTCTCCCATTTCCTCTTACATATATCACCCACAGTGGACGTCATGTTAACTTCTGCGATCTTTTCATTAGTCCCATCTTTAAGTCTTGTGCATATCCTTCCAGCGGATCAATCCTCTATGTCAGGGGATTGCATCTTAGACCACAGTCTGATTTGATAAAAGTAACCTAGTCATTAGGATACACAACATAGTCTAATTGCGTTGGGGAAATTTGTCCTTTATTTCATAAGGTGGGGTTGTGCAGACCTGAGATATGTTTGCCGCAAATCCGGTAGAAGGCAAATCAAGTACAAGTAAGTAAGTATGTACAAATTGGGGTGATGCAATGCACAGCTGTAAGGTAAACGGGATAACTCAGTGACATGGAACCGGACTCAAAATGTAGGGTCAGCGGGTTGATCCTTTCTCTCAGGGAGCATTTCCTGTCTGTGCAATTTCCCTATTGCCCTTAGTATTATTTACAATAATATAGTGTGAGTTAAAATGTGTCATAATTTGACAGCAGTTAGAGAATAACCTGGACATATGCACCATAATGTCCCTGAGCGGCATGCCACCGAGCAAGCAGATTGCTTGAGAGTGCGAACTTGAAGTAAGACGCAAGAAGGTTAGCGAGGATAACAAACGCGAAAATATGCAGGCTCCACGCATGTTACACCGTGTTGAAATAGACATGGTTCAATTTACCCCCTCAGCGTTTGTTTTGATAACTACTTACATGGACTGCTAGGCACCAATGTTTACCTTGTTATGATCTTGTTGAAAGCCAATTATGTTCGGCAACTTGCGGTGAACGTGACAGTGACTTACTATAAACGTTATCGTTGACCGAAGCGGACAGTCAAGTTTCAGGGAGCAGTCCGGAGGAAGAGGAAGGCGCGGTCACTGGAATAAGAAGTTTATTGGCCTGACTTTTCAGAATATCACTCGAACCCACCATCAGAGACGGTCGCACAGGGAGTGCAGTATTTATAGTACGTAACTGCCATGGGGTCGCTTGCGTACAGTAAGTAGCAGCTGTCGTAATCACCGCTAGATGTCGTAATTGATACGATGATGGCTCGTCAGTCCGCGTCCGAGTCGTTGATTGCCACAATTTCATCATCGAGGTTGGATGTTGACCGGAGGATGACACGGTACTTTGGCCAGCCATTGACGGGGTAGTTGACTGCCCCCCGCGTGACTGATTCTCTTGCTCAGGGAATATCTCAGTACTGAATAAGCTACCGTGAGGTCATTGCGCTTATTGATGGATTGAGGGTCTGCGAGCCATGATTTGAACAGCTCACGGCTTACGCTGTTGACCGAATTTCCAGTGATTTCGGCCTCTGGAAACTTGTAGATATGGCCGGGTTACGTTAAATGACCTGCTACCTGAAAACCTACTTCTCTCGGCTGCTGCTCTCACGGCTGCTGTTTACTCAGCAATTCGCGTCCGGAGTAGTATCCCAGTTTCCCCAACGCAGTTGCTCTGTCCGCAACTGCCCCACATCCGGTAAACCACTCCAGACGTCTCCTGCCGTGACAACAGATATTTCGACCTCATGACTTGGCGCCTAATGGTTGCTTCTGGCTTTTGTGCAACCCCAGTTCAAAATGTAGTGAGAAGGCAATTGACGTCTTCCGAGATGTTGCTCGGGTAAGGAAACGCTTGCCAAAATTTAGGGCCGGTTGAATTTCGTTTTTGGTTTCCTTTGGACATGAACTAGTTGACAAAGTTGGGCAGGTAGCCACTGGCTCTCGGTAGTCGTCGAATATATTGAATTTCAACAACCGTGTCTTCCGTTTCATGGCAGTACGTCTCTGAGCACCGGTACAGCGCCCTTACGCAACTGCGTTTCTGACCGACCATGTGGCCCGCCATATCCGCCTACGGCTTCCACACAGTCTTCATCTCTTAAGATACATGACCCTCGAGAAATTTTCCTTAGTAGTTTAGCAGACTCTATTTTCTATGAACAATGTATTTAGCTGGTGCTGGAATACAGAACAACCAACCAGCAGGCTGGGCCGACTTCGACGGGCGGTTAACAAACGTGTCTGTTTATAGACGCGAACAGGCGAGTTCCAGGAAGCAGTTAAGAAGATAAAGATGCGATCACTGGAACAAGAAATTTATTTGCCTGACGTTTCGGATTCTCCCTCGAATCCATCATCAGAGACATTCGCAGATAATGGTGATGGTGGCACTAGGAGTGCAGTATTTCTAGCACGTGGCTGTCGTGGGACCGTATGCGCACTGTAATTAACAGTCCTCGTAATCACCGCTGGGGTCGTAATTGATGCGGTGGTGGCTTGTCGGTCCGAGTCCGGGTCGCTGATGGCCGCGATTTCGTGATCTGTGCCGGACGCTGGTGTGACGATTGCTCGGCAAACTGGCTCACTGTCACCGTGATAATTGCTCGCCCGCACCCTCCTCACGTGACTGTTTCTCCTGCTCAGGGAAAATCGCAGTACGCTATAGGGTACCGGGAGGTCACTGTGCTTGTTGATGGATTGCGGGCCTGAGAACCATGACTCGAGCAGCTCGCGGCTCACGCGGTTGTAACCCCTTGCGAGGATTTCGGCCTCTTGGAATTTAAAAATATGGCCGGGTCCCGTCGAGTGTGCCGCTACCTGAGAGTTAGCGTCTCCCCGCCTCACTGCTGCTCTGTGCTCGGCAATTTGCGCACGAAGTAATCTCCCAGTTTCTCCGACATAATTGCTGTGTCCGCAACTACACCAGATCCGGTAATCGACTCCAGGCGTGTCCTGCCGTGGCAGCGGGTCTTTTGGCCTCATGACTTTGCGCCAAATGGTTGCTTCCGGCCTGTGTGCAACCCCAACTCCAAGTGGAGTGAAAAGACGACTGACGGCTTCCGAGACGTTCTTCACGTACAAAAGAGCCCGCCAAAATTTGGAGCTGGTTAGATTTGGTCTCTGGTGTCTTATTCGTATGCGATGGTTGACAAAGTTGCGCCGGTAACCATTGGCTCTCATTACCCGTCGAAGATATTGCAATTCAGCAACCGTGTCTTCCATTTCACTGCAGTGCGTCTCAACGCACAACTGCGTTTGTGACTGATCGGGTGGTTGCTATTAAAGTTCAGTATTTACGTCGTATTTGTCGCTTTCCTGAACACTTTGGTTTTTAGGCCACCACAATCTTTTCGGCAGACGAGGACATCCAGGAAGGCCAGCTGATTGTTTTCCTCCTCCTCCATCGTAAATTGAATGTCCGGGAAGATGGCGTTGAGTTGTTCTTCTCGTCTTTCCGCTAAACCGAGCGCAAGTCACCGTGCCTGCCTCGTTTTGCTGTGAATCCTCAGATGCGATGGTCGAATTATCACAGTCAGTGAGCGTAGGTTTGCCAACTACTATATTGAGCAGTTCTGGAGTTTAATGGGTGCATGTGAAGCATACTGCAAATGACGTTTGAAGAATGTCTGCGGCACTGCAAGGGGAACATTGGTTGTCGGCTACGGTACGATATTATATTAAACTCATCCCGTATCCACGGCAAAGTGCCTCTTGATTATACGAAACGCCTTATATCAGCGGCAGCTGCAGTACTCGATTCGAAATCATTCTCGATGTCCATCGTCGGAGGTACATAAAGGGTCTCAATAGCTTAAATAAGAACGCCACTTTATATGCCCATTGCGCCTCAGTGAACGCTAATTTGTAGTTCAAACAAAATAAATGATTTATATTGCAGCTTGCCACGTGTGGTGCTGATGTGCGTTTGAAGAAATGAGCATTGATAGCTTGGGATAATCGTTACCTCAGTTGTAATAGGAATGCACGGGACGAGTTGTTCCAAAGTCGAGTGTGCGAGGCCGTTTGCTTCCACACTCGTTACAGTAGTTCTAGGAGTTGGTGTTCAGTTAGGAAGCCTATTAACATTTTCTCATGAACGTGATCAACACTTTCGATCTCACTATAAAAATATGTTACTTACGTGGTTTAAGTAGAAACGTTAAACAAAACTTTGCGAAACGCACTATGCGATCAACTACGAGAATGATAGACCCAGCAAGAGGGATACAACCATGTGATTGGTCCGATAAATGGGTGTTTAACTTATACCTTAAAAATTGTGTCGCACTTAAACGGGGGCAGAAATGGAGATTATCACCAATTCCTCATTCGTAGAATGTGTTTTCAAAAGAAGCCGAACAGAAGGGCGTTGGAATTAACATCTTGTCAACTCTAAAACACCATTCTCAATGCGTTAGGTAGTCCAAAAGGCCAGACGGTTCTCTCTTAGTTTAGTTCTTATTCGTTCGCAACTGGAATGCGAAAGCTACGCATGGAAACCCTGGATGAACTAGACTACGCGTTGTTGCAAAATGTTCGGAGGAGAACGACCCAAAATCGGAAATCCTTTGAGACCTCAGCACACAGCTACAGAAATGGTCTCATTGGCCTATTTTCTCTCGAGTACAGGCAGACGAGCCGTCATACAGACCTACCAAACTAAGAGGAATCGAGATTGTCTTCTTCACTTTCACGATTTCTTCGTCTTCGCCACGACAGCAAACCTAAGTAGGAACTCTCTAAAACTTCTTGGAGTACGATAACACCTGCATGTTTACGGTTATAGGTTTCGCAAGGAGTCGACAGTGCTCGGAGCGAGTTTCTCGACAAGTCGGCTACATACTTCTTCAGGGAGACATTAGAACAAACACTAGATGTATACTAGCTGGAAACATACCTCCTTAATTGACAGAGAAGGTATGTTTCACCAAATCGCCGATTCTCAAACTTCCACCGTCAATGCGGGTAACCGTTGTTTCAATTCAATTTTTCATAATCATCCACAAATTAGTGCTCTTGAATTTCAATTCTGCAAGCTCAAAACAATATTTTTAATATATGTATGACACGGACACAGAATATTGTATGTAACATTTTAAATAGGGTCTTTAATTGCATTGATTATTACCCTTGAATATACTTAACTGTAATGGAATAAGCGCCACCGAATAAGTGAAATAACCGAAGTTTCGTTTTTTAAAATTTATCGGAAGAAGCTGGTTAGAATTCCCGCTTACTTTTATTTAAGGGACATGATTTTACTGAATACCAACAACCACACCATACGAATCACGAAACAGTTGCAATACTATCCACTATCACCAAAATCTCCTTTTTAAAGTGACCGAACAGAAAGGCATTCGGATTCAGATCTTGTCAACTCTTAAACAACATTGTCAATGCGTCAAGGTGTCTAAGAGGGTGAACTGTGTTCTATTCGTTTAGCCGTAATATGATTGCATCTGAAATACGAAATCTACGAGTGGCGCCCACGGCTGAAAAAGACCATGGGCTGTTGTAAAGGTTTTGGAGGAGAGCGATCAATGTCCTCAAATCCCTTGTGACCTCATCGTACTGCTGTAGAATTGGTCGCCTTATCCTATTTTCCCTTGAGTAATGACAGATAGGCCCTCAAACAGACCTACCGGACTGTCAGGAATCAAAATTGTCTTCTGCACTTCGACGATCTCTTCGCCTTTGCCACAACAGCAAACCTAGGTGGGAACTCTTCGTGGTGTACGATCCCATATGCATGTTTACCGTTTCTGGTTTCTCAGGGCGTCGGCAGTGCTTGAAAGGGCTTTCTCGAACAGACGACTACAGAAGAATCGACGGAGACATTAAAGCCAATACTAGATATATACTTGTTTGAAGAATACCGCCTAACTTGACAGAGCAGCTCTGTTTTACCAAGACACAGATTTGCAAACTTCCACCGCCAATGCGGACAATTGTTGTTTCAATTTTTCCAAATCATCCACAAATAAGTGCCCTCGGGTTTCCATCCTGCAAGTTCAAAAACAATATTCTGTAAGACGTGGCCATACCTGCATGAACATTTGACCTTAAAGCACGAATGTACATGCAATCAAACCTTCAGCTGCGCGATACTGATAGTTTCAGATAATCGTGGCAGGCTTCCCTACTGGCAATTCCTACTTTGAACTAGGATGGATTTGATGGCGTGCAGAAATACGCCTACTGAAAATCGAAAATGGTTCTGGAAACCCACAGTGCATTTAAAACATCACCTGCTAGGCACCCCTGCAGACACGTCTTTAGACTTTGAAATCCCTCATCTTCAGTCTTGGTGAAGTATGTCCTTGCCTCACAGTAATTACGTTCGTCGCACATGTATGCTGTGTGCTCTTCTGTTCTTTCTACTGAAATAAAACCAAAACTAATTTCAGCAGGTAGAGAAAACTAAAGCAACATTATAATCTACAACGGATGCATGTACAAACAACAGAACAAAAGCATTCAGCAAAAATATGACGGTAAAGTGGCAGCTTACAATCGGTCCAACCACTGCACCTGGGAACGCACTGTTTGTAAGCATTAAAGCTTCCGTCCTTCCTCTCAATCTGGAGACAGTTCCCCCATCTGTGGTCGCACACTTCAAAGGACGGCGCGGAGCTGCCGTCCACTAAAATGCATCATCTCTCGCAGGTTAAACAGAATAGCTTGCTATTCACAATACCCAGTTCTGGCATAAATGTATTATTTAAACACTGTGCTACAGAAAATAAAGTGAAATCGTGTAAAACAAATAAATGTCCCACAGTTACTTACGTTGTTCCAACATCTGACATGTCCGAACACACCTCACGTGCCTCTCAAAGATTCTACCGTGGCCTTTCCGTCCATAAACCTTATACTCACTGCAAGACTGGCCAGACCCTTTGCAAAAGTAGGCAGTCGTTTTCTCGGTTATGTTCGCTTGAGACAAAGAAAGAAGTTAATTATTAATCTCCATGTTCTGGATGAGCAGGCGGCAGCGAACGTGCGAAACATCTGCAGTTTCAACGGACATGGTGGAGAAGCGCTTAAATGGAAGTACATACCTCGTTTTTTTGCACATACACGGCGGCATTGGGCGTCCTTGCTATCATCTCCATTGGTGAAGGGAAGAGGTCTGCAATATTTGTTGTCCTCTCTGCATATTTTTTCTATGCCGTCTGAACACAAAAGCGACGAATGTGTTATTAAGTGCGAGCCTTGACAGACTAATATATACTTATATTTGTATTGTTGATTTACTAACAGTTGTCAAATTAGAGTATTATGCCTTACAAGTGGTTAGGATAAGGGCTCATGTCTTGCTCGCTGGATGATCTCTAACTGCTTAATAAAATGGAACGGCTTATTTAGCAAGAACAGTGACTTTTTATCAATCGCCCGTAATTGTGTTGAATTTTCAAACGTACGAGAGACTACCAGTAAAATCAACGCAGCCTGAAGTAGCATCGGCGAAGGGAATCCCATTGTGTCGAACCGATGTCACTGTTGGAGCTATAGTTTGACAACTCCGCACAGCATTTATGCCTATATGTATATCATTTGGTTGTCCGCCTTGCTGTCATGCCATTGGTTACAGCAAAAAGTTCAGTGACAACTGTTTGCCTCCATGATCGTCTGTATGTCATTTTAGCGAACACGATTAATAAATGCAAACCAAGGAAGAAGTTTGAATGACAGACAATAACTCACGTACTCACCCTGGATCTCATTGCGAGGTTTATGTGCTGAATTCATTTTTAATATCCCATCGTGTTTCAGTCATCTTGTCACGAAACCTCAGTATAATGTTGCTAAACCATACCGATTGAACATCTTAGACAATGTGTGCCCTTAGAAGGGTTTCTTTGGTTAGCTTTGTTTTAATGGCTTATGCATTTTTCACTCCACACGGTAAAACCCCACCGTAGACAATGTTAAAGTATTGATTCGTGTGGTCCGTCGTGTTATGTCTGGCTATCTAAATGGGCGAAGGATATTTCCTCTCGCCTGGAAATCGAAGGATTTCTTCACGTGTCGTGTAACATGCTGGCTGGTTCGATGTTTGCCCGTTTATAGCCCAATTGCCTTCATTTTGGCAGATCGCATGTTCAATTAAAAAGAATTGATGCATTTCAAACTTCTAAATAACGTCGTGCGCAGTTCTGCCAAGTCAATTTCCCCTGACAATTAGTTGAATCCCTAGGTGCAAGGATTGCCTATGGTTCTAAAATCGAAAAATGGAAAAAGAGAAGTATTTTAGAAAAATAATGGGTGGCAATCTCTCAACGAATTCGTGCAAACCAAAATTTCACGACGAAGACTGTGTATCTTTTAGCGAGAAGGCGTACACGCTCAAGAGAGTGTATTTTCTAATGGAATTAAATGTAATCTATCGAAGACGAAATACCTAGGCTTCCTTGCTAACTTGGAGTCCACAATATCCGCAAAAATTCATGTGAACGATAAACGATTCACAATCCAGAATAACAGTGTGCATACCTTAAATGACCGAAATCCCTTTTCTGTTCTATCACGTGAGGAAAAGAATGCAGTAAAACATTAAAAAGTGTCAAAAGCATTATCATAATTCCTGCGGACAAAGGAGGATCAACCGCGATTTTAAACAAAGCAGGCTATAAGGAAGACATGCCAAAACTAAAGGATAGATCAACTTACAAACCTCTTACCACGAATCCCACGAAAGCGTAAAGTACGGGGATTGAGAAAGTCCTAAAATGTCTGACGAAACAGAAGTGAATATCACGAGATACTGCCAAATCCCGGCAACAAACTAAGATCTTAAAAAGTCAAATTGGCGAACACGTGTTTTCAGTAACTCTTCATCAGGCCAAAACGGTTACAATGAAGTTTAAGTTATGCGAATTACATGACTTATAAATGATTCAGGGACAATTAACATCGATCGTTCCCACGCCACTCGCATGACGAGGCGTGCTATGGCGTGGTCGGCGTGTCGTGGTCATTGGGAGGTAAAGACCGACTCCCGTTGCAGGCCACATCAATGTGTATTTATTCATTCACTTGCTCCTGTGGAGCGGAATACATCGGCCGTACAACGAGGCGCTTGGAAAAGAGAGTACGTGAACACATACCGGACTGGCTAGGCAAAGGTGAGAAGAAATCGATCTCGAGTTCGATTGTCGCACATACTGTCGATACGAATCACCGAGTCGATGCCAAAGAAGCATTTCAGATTGTCTACCGGACACCAGCAGGCTTCTCCAAAGGCCTACGCAAACGGGTGCTAGCTACAGTTGAGACAGTGGCTATACGGCTAGCCAATCCAGTGCTATGCTGTCAGAAGACTCTGACACAGGCGCTCTGTCTTCCGTGGCCGACGCCGATCCCAACCTCGCCCCAACCTCCTGATGCCAGGGTGGGTGCACAAGGTACACGACGTACTCACAGCCTATGCCCCCCCTCTTCCTCGCCCCCTGAACCCAATTACCACGAGACGCCGACCACGCCATAGCACGCCTCGTCATGCGAGTGGCGTTGGAACGATCGATGTTAATTGTCCCCGAATCATTTATAAGTCATGCAATTCGCATAGCTTAAACTTCATTGTTACAGTTTTGGCCTGATGAACAGTTACTGAAAACACATGTTCGCCAATTTGACTTTTCAAATGTAACATGGGAATATTCGCTGAACTTAAACTAAGATCTATGGACCACCTAAGTTTCACAAACCTGAAGTACCACTGCGACCGATAATACCGTTAATCGGTGCACCCTATTATTTCTAAATAGCTATTCCACATACTCTATCCGTTGACAAAGGATTATGAAATATTAATAAATATTTCAAGAGAGTTGTTTCGACAAATTACCAGGACTGCGAATAGCACCAGATGAAATAATGGTATCCTTTGATGCCGTCCCTCTTTGTCTTAGTAATACTGGATTTAACAAGACTATGAAGAGAGGAAAGTCTCCAGTACTACGACACGGACATCCCTGCATCTGCTCTGTTAGAACGCTTAGGCGCTTGTCTACAAGCGAAAATTTTGTTTGCATAGGAATAGTATCAACAGCCGAAGGGAGCCCCTATGGAATCACCCAACTCCGGTTTTCTGACAGAAATCCCAATGCAGAAATTAGAGGCTATCGCCTTAACATTAGTTTACCTCAGAATATGGCTACAATATGTTGACGACACGTTTTTCGTTGTTAAAATTGATCGACTGGAAAAAGTCCAAAATAATATTAAATCAACACTTCCGGAAGTCACATTCACACTCGAGAAAGAGGCTGAAAACAACCTCACATTTACCGATGTTCTCGTACAGAGAAGGCCGGACATTTCACACTTTGGTTTACCGCAAGGAAACCTACGCGGAAATTCTTTTACATTACGAGAGCTATCGCCCGATACCGCAGAAACGGAGTGCCGTGAACAGCCTACCTATACGAGCAAAAACTCACTGCTCTGACGACGAAACCAGTCAAACAGAACTGGATTATTTGTTCAAACTCTTATCGCAAAATGCGTAACCTGGATATGTTGTACACCGATGTGTGAGACGAAAGGAGTTAAAAGAAAAAAGACAAGGAACTAGATTGATCCAATCAGGCGTCCAAACCAAACAAAACTGCCGAACACTTCCATGTCTTAGGAATGTGTCCCAACTAGTTGAAAGACACCTGAAGACGCCCCAAATACATGTGGCACACAAGCCGACGACTACACTTCGTAACCAACTTGTACACCCTAATGATAGGGTTGGCTATTTAGATAAAAAGGAATTCGTTTATAAGACGCCAGGCAACACCTATAATTCGGTTAAATGCGGTCAAACTGGTAAATCGTTCTCTACACCAATCAGTTGGCCGTCAAACGGCGAGGCCACTTGCCCGAGTTACCATACATACGATGAAAACTGAACACGAATTTGCTTGCAACAGGACTTGCATAGTAGTTGTCTGCTCATCTAAGAAAGGACGTGAATTTTTAAAGGCCATCCATTCTGATAACCCACGCATAAACCAACACGATAAATTGAATAAGGTGTACAGAAATCTCATGAAAAAGTGGAAAAGGCCATTGACCAATCAGGACATTACGCCAGCAGTAGTGACAGGGCGAAATCGATTTTTAGGCGTGTGTACATGTAAACTGTTTTCACGGTTACTTCACGTCTGAGGAGGAATTGGAAAACAAATTCGGAAATTTACACTAAAACTTGGTTAACTTTCCCAAAGAAATTATTTCTTTCGAAACAAATATATGTATGTCGGGCTAAGGCTTCATACTGCATTCCCGAGACTCAATGTGTAAGCACGTATTTCGCCGAGGTTTCCGCTGCTCCGTGACGCAGTGACAAGCGTTTCGTTCCCACAATGAGTTATGTCTTATTGTTTTAAATTTCTTATGTAATTTGTCTAAATGCACTTACAGTTGCCGTGAGTGCTGTGAGTTCAATATTAACCGTTATGTGAAATATGTTTTTTACCCGAATATATTTTACCATGTTGCCTTAAATCCGTGGTATTTGGCAAAATGCCCAGATCCCAATGGCGTGAGCAAACACGCCCCCTGATGTATGCAGGGAACATCAACCTTGCCACATATCTTTCTCTGTCAGCTCCTTTCCTGATAATGCATACGATGGCAACAATAGCCGAAACCCTGCATTTGCAACAGGCTTTATTCTGTTTTTGTCGTCTCAAATGTGTTTGAGCATGATCTCCATTAAATTGACCTCATTTGTAATGCACTGGCTGAACGTAATCATCCAGAAGTCAATCATATCAGTCTCTAGATATAATAATTTGAAGGTCACAAGAAAGTAACCGTAAAATAAGAAGTCGCAGGTATCTCTAAGTCGGGTTGAATATATTTCAATCCGTTTGGGTGATGTTAATGCCGCAAGACACCTGGTTGCCTAGGACACAGTGGGCAATGAATGTCCCTAGAAGCGGAGGATGCCAGAACCTCCCGGCCGCATTAAACAAACCTTAATTCGTACGCGTGGAAATAATGACATGTTCCATCGGAACACAGTTGATGCCCCTGTCCGATTGATGCACCAAATGAGATCATGCCGTTTTTGGCAATGACTTTACTGGCTGACACGACGTTGACCGGTTTAACAAATTGCCTTCTCACTGCAAACCCACACGGGCCCTAACTTTACTTCAGAAATTATACGGTACCCTTTATATAAATGCCTAAAAGCGTTCAGACCTTCTTTTCAGACAACTTTGGCATCCTTTTTGCTAAGAGGACCTCCTCTCACAGTTGTTTGACAAACCAGTTGGGAATTACGAAGAGGAAAATTCGCTTGAAGGTCCCTGAGACCTAAACAACTAGGTGCGTCTATTGCGAACTGTATGCTTTAGATCGCCACTTTTTCTAGGCGTCTTTCAATCAAACCAACAGGCAGCAAACGCCTGTCAGTTAATCTGAAAGCCAAATATCTAAAAAAGACTTTTGTCTGGGTAAACGCAGTGATTGACAAA